TGAGCGCTAGGGCGCTTTTTGTTTGTCAAAGTACAGTACTGTGTTTTGGAAGCATTGAACTGTACAAGATTGTTGCGTCCCCAAGCAGTGATAGCCTCCAGGTCTCTTGTCAGAGAAGAAGTCGTCGCTAGTCTTCTTTTTTCCAGCTCAGTGGCAGAGATCGGCTTGTCACTCTGAATTCCTGCATGTAGAGTGCTGTCATCAGCGAAGCTGTGGATTGGGTTGATCGTGCAGGAAAGGAGGTCGTTGATATGTAAGAGAAACAGTGTTGGAGCCAAGACCGATCCCTGGGGAACACCCGCGTTGACGTTGTGGGATGAAGAGGAGAATCCGTCAATTACGACGGATATCTTGCGGCCAGAGATAAAGTCAGCCACCCATCTGCAAAGCTTTTCTGGGAGGCCATAGGATGGAAGTTTGCTTAAGAGGGCAGCGTGCCACAGCTGATCGAACGCTTTCGTGATGTCAAGACCAACGACATGAGCCTCACCATGAGACTGGATGAGTTTACTCCACAGTTGCGTGACGTAAGCTAGGAGGTCCCCTGTGGATCGTTGGTGCCGGAAACCGTACTGCCTGTCGCTAATCAAGCTGTGACGTTCGAGGTAGTCCAGAAGCTCGCGATTTATGCACCTCTCCATCACTTTACCTATAACAGAAAGCAGAGCTATAGGCCTGTAGTTGTAAGGGTCGGTCTTAGATCCTTTTTTGGGATGGGCTGTACATGAGCAAATTTCTAGTTTTCTGGGAAGGTGCCGGATTCATAAGATATCTGGAAGAGACGCGAAAGAACTGGAGCAAGCTCCGCTGCACATCTCTTCAGTACAATGGCAGGAATCAAGTCCGGACCAGAGGCTTTGTTGATGTCGAGCGACAAGAGCACTCGTCTTACGGTCTTATGCCTGAATGTTACCTCCTGCATAGTGTGAGGCACCCTTTGAATTGACGGCACTTGGGCGTTGATGGGGACGTCCATGGTGGAGTTGGCAGCAAAGATCTTGGCTAGCACTTCCGCCTTGGCCTTTGAGTCGAATACAATAGTTCCATCCTGACACGTAAGTGGTGGAAGGCTACTGTGTGAGAAGTTCTTTTCAATCTGCTTGGCCAGCGTCCAGAAAGACCGACTGCCATTGCGCTGCGACATTACCCTGTGCCTAACTTTTATATCATGCTGGTTTTTGGCATTGCGAACCGCATCGTTATATTTGTTTCTGGACTCGACGTCGGCTTGTCTGTTCTCTACAGTGGGGTTTTGTAAGTAGGTTCTGTGTGCCTTGATCTTCTGCTGGCGAGCAGTGTCACACGATTTGTTGAACCAGCCGTTGGACCCTGGTTTAGGAACTTTCACTGTATGAGGGATGTATTCCTCCATTCCGACGTGGATAATTTCGGTTATTGAAGAACAGACAGTCGACGCATCCGCGTCAGTGAAACAGACATCTCTCCAAGGAAAGCTAGAGAAGAAGTCTCTGAGCCCCTCCCAGTCGGCATGTCCGTAATGCCAAGTTTTGCGGCCTGTACGAGTTTCTGCTGCCACAGCGGCTTCTGACCGAAACCTAACCTCCACAACACCGTGATCTGAGTTACCCGGGGGGACAGGACAGCAGTGCTGTAAGGGACAGGATGCGTGGTCAGAAAGAGATCCAGCAGGCTACTGGCGTGTGACGAGACGCGGGGGAAAAAAGTAGGGCTCGTCACCAGCTGGGTCAGCCCTTGAGTAAGAGCGAACGCTTCGACTGCACGACCTGCTGCATCGGTCTTATTTGAGCCCAACCAAAGCTCATTATGGGCATTGAAATCACCGAGAAGAACTACCTCTGAAGCGGGGTGATTGATGTTCAGGAAGTCGATCTGGACGGCGAGGTATTCGAGTAGGTCATCCCAGTTATGGTTCGAGGGAGAGCGATAAAGGCAGCAAATAAATTTGCCACAGAATGTCCTTCCGGTCTGATTCCAAAGACAGATTCCTGGAGCAGGACAGACTGCTGCGGACAAAAGCCACAACTCCCCCGTTCTTTCTCAGATTGGAGTGCACCTCGTAGTTTGGGAAGTTGAGATGATTAATCGGTGCAGTCTCTGAGATTTTGTCTCCGCCAAGAAAAGCACGGTGGGACGATTGGATTGCAGGTAGTGATGAACAGCATCAATGTTGCTGTTGATCCCACAGATGTTCGAAAAACAAATTTTATCTTCGATGTTGTTCCCTCGAGCCCACCCTCCACCCGGACATTCCGAGAGTGGAGTGAGTTTACGTCCGTTATTGACTATATTCACTAATTTAGTTTATAATACGGGTTTTGTGTATAATGGGTAGTGACTATTCAGTGTCAAGTGAAGGTCCATCAAACAGAGAAACTAACAAACGCAAAAAACAGGAAAACAGAGAGACGTAATGAAAACGATTCGCGGCACTACCCACGAATTTAAAAGGTGAAACATACACCATTTGAAGTCATTGATTGTGGCAAAAATTTTGAGTTTCAAGATTAGTTAAGTTTTTATCGCGGTTTTATCCAACGAAGTGCCGCTATGCTAGTTCTAAATTTGATAGGGTAATTCGGAATAATCGAAAAAAGAAGCAAGAAGATCAACAGAACCGAGAATAGGAAACATTGAGAAAACTTCCCCATGGCCTAATCCCCATTAAAAGTAAGAAATGGAAAAATCTGCAGGATCTGGCCAAATTTCTTAAGGGACCAGACTCCATGGTATTTTATCAACAGTTAACATCTCTTCATCATCCAGAAAATAGTCTGTCTGCGGGTGCCAATAGACGCTTAATTAAAGTAGGGCACGAGTTCAGAGTTGAACATCATTTTTTGATTGTTACGTTACTAGTTTTGAGTAAAAGTTCATTTTGTAAAATCTATTTTACCAATAAACACACTGTTTAGCAAATATATTCTTTACGAATTATTTTTTCATCAATTTAACTTTCCCAGAAGTAAGTGAACCTTAATTACCGATTTTCTCAAAATCTGTCCGGATGGACTATTGTCGTTATTCCCCGGTACCCTTCACTTGTTTTGTTTAACAAACCAGACCTCAAATTGAACATAGCAACAGAGTTTGGAAGACTGTGAAGAAGAGAAATAAATCGAGCAGTGAACAATGTACAGAGAAGAGTCACCTCTGCTTATTGATAATATTTATGGTTATTATTGTGTTCAGGTTTCACCATACTTTTTGTGTCCTTATGCTTTTCATCCAGCAACAAATTAATGACCAACAAAGGAAATATATCACTGAATTGAGGACTGAAAAGTTCAATTAAATGTACAAAATAAAAGTGATATTGGAATAAATTTGGTTTGCAAAACAAATGACTATCTGATAATTGCAAGGCCTACCTAGGAAATTCTGCTTTTTTATTAAATATCTAAGGTTTGAAATGTCAATGTATGACATATATCTCTGGAATCAAAATTAAAAACTATTCATTCGTCTATTTAAATGCACAACATTCCAATATAGCATCAGTATGAAAAAGCAAAGTTGGTGATGGGAGTCGAAAAAAGGAATGCCGAATTGGAAATTTTACTACTCCAACTTGTACAGGAAAATAAGTAATATTGACAACATGCAATTCATTTTGAAATCTCGACTCAAATAAGGTTGTGAAAAAATAAAAGTGATCTTAGGATAAATCTGGTATGTGAACAAATGACCATCTGATAATTTCAAGGCCTACGTAATAAATTCTGCTTTTTTGAGATAAATAAGGTTTGGAAACGTTAATTTATGACTTATTATACATTTTTGAAATCAGAATTAAATAAGGCTTCCATAAAAAAATAAATAAAGTTGATGATGGAGGACAAGAGACAAAAAGTCATATTTGAATTCTAATTATGCAATCTTGTAGAGGAGAAAAAGTGGCAATGTTAATGTGCAATTTATCTTGGAATCGCATTACAAATGAAGTCAAGAAAATTTTTTGGGGAAATTCGGTTTTTGTCATCTCTCTCCGGAAGGACTTTGAATTTCGAAACTTTCTAAGCGGAATTTTGTTGATTACCTAAATGCGCAACTTTGCCCCCATTTAAGCGACTATGTATCTCTTACAGTTTCCGAGATCCCAATGATGAGGGTCGAATTTGAAACAGCCTGTATAATTAAGAATGACTAAAATACTTTTTTACTTACTCATAAGGTGGCGTGCACCAATTAAGAGAATCCAAAACTAAATTAGTGTTTTACAGAAAATGTGTAAAATTGGACAATTCATGGGTTCTGTATATGGGATTTTCAATATTAAGGTTACATGGTACTGCTACATTCATATATGGTACAACTAGAGTAGCCATTTTCATATATTTTCAGCAACAGAGTAATTTAATTTTGAATACTCATGGTTGGTGCTCGCCACCGATAGTGTATTTTTCAAAAATAAAATCACTAATTTTGCGTAATGATGAACATATGTTTCTCAGGTATATAGGGAGCATAGATTTCGGATCTGAGCTCAATCTAACTATAGAACTGTAGTTATAACCCACAAAGGGTCCTAACGACTAATTTTGTATCTCAAATTAGCCCCACAGTACTTCGCGATTTTTATTGGCGTAAATGCAATCAGCAACCCGAATTAGTTAAGTGCACCAAGTCTTGTAACAAAATGAAATGAATATGGAGATTCTGCACTACCACGCTTTATAATATTATCCCATGTTAGTTTGATGCTAAGTTGCATCGGGGTCCAAATCAACCAATATTCCATCTCAAATTCGTCTTTACGACCGCTATACTTAACTATTTTTAACGGTCTTGCTTATATTGATTCTCTTGGAACAATAGAAGACAAGAATTTAAACACTGTCCTACAAAGTCCTATAATTTGAAGTTTCATGAGCTAAAATTTCGTTCTGGGTAAACTCTGTGTGTAGATTCTGGATCTGACTACAGTATGTTTCGAAACCATTGGGCCGCCAGAACTGAAAAGTATTATGTTTGGATAAAATCAAGACTTGATTTAAATATAATACGATTAATAGACAATATATCATATAGCAGCTTTTTTATTAACTACACAAAACAGATAATATCTACATTAGGCATATATACACGTCAGTTAGTAGATCCCAGTTCCAATATACTGGATACACAGCATACAGCATATAAATATATAGTTTCAAGTTGTGACACAGTATACAATGATTCCAGCTTATTCTAATTTGACCACATTTGACAATATTTTTCTGTCTAAAATACTATCAGTGTGACAAGACATGTATAAATGGAGCCTTGTTTCCATATTGATAAAAAATAAAACGTAATGCATGAGTAGTAACTACAACATGTTTAGCTTCACATGAATGAAAATTTTAATTTTTTAATGGAAACGCACAGGCGAGACACATGTGCAGACCAGACTAGCAAACAAATACGACACGAAATTATTATCTATCAATCATGGAATCCCATATGGCTTTCTAGAATGCCAATTTGTTTACTAAAAGATGACCTATGTCCTCCTGAAGGGCTGAGGTCTGGTATAGACCTGCGGCCTGGTTTCTGCAACGGCTGCAGGAGGATGGGCAGCGATGTAATCCAAGGACCTCTGGATCGCTGGAGGTACTGGTGGAGCTGTGGGCAAGTGACTACCCACGGGTTGGTAGCCGTTTTCATCGGCTACGTATTGAACCTGGAAGAAAATAGAATCTTGACTACACCAAAGGAAGAGCTAAAATGACTTTTTGTTATTGTATTATGTACCAACTTTGCCTAGGCAAATGCTGTTCAAAATCATCATAGATGGCGCCAGGATATCTCTTTTCATCTCTGATCATTTTTAGACGCGGGATTACAGTTTTAGGGCAGGTAGATTACGCTAATTAATGGGGAAATCCTGGCAAAGCGAATATCGAAATCGATACTAGACCTACCCTGATAGAGCTGTTTTACTTGTTTTGTGCATTCGTAACCGGCAAAGCTAATTTTGGCAAACAATTTTGTGTTGCGAATTTTATTTGGTTTTTCAGAATCATGGAAGATTGTGAGCTTTTTGATGGTTCGTTATAACTATTTTCAATGCGATTCAAACTTTTAGGTTTTCAATGTAAATTTATAAATGTTGCATAGAAACTTTAACCTGGCGCTTGACTTTCAACTATGCATGCTTAATCATATCCCTATGATAAATGTTCCTAATTTTATTTTTATGTTGAAAATATTTTTCAAATAACGAATTCATTCCGAACAAACGCCAAATATGCCGAAACAACGAAGATCAGTAAAATAAACTGAAAATTAACATATGACGTCGGAAATTGTAGCGGTCAACCGGTGTAGCACTTACGGAGGGGTATCAGTGAAAACATCTTAACCCCCTTCTCTCCGATTTCATGCTACAATCCCCATGACCGCCCAACGGCAAAATTGACCTACAGGCCACATGTACTTCAGATTGTTTTTCCAAATCCTAAGAGAAGCGTGCTCTTCAAATACTTTGCTAAAAATCACTGCGATGTCTTTCCTGCATAGGGCTCACTAACACCGATCGTATGGCTTGGCTTTGCGGAAATCGGAATCGACAGCAATTGAACGGAATCGCGAGCACATCGAGGGAATCGTTCAGACCGGAATCGGATCCATGGAATCGAATCACTGAAAGAAACGATTTAACTTAGCTCTTCCCTGAGGTAATGATTTGTTTTGTCTTCTTATAACGACTGCCTTGCGACGCTAAAGCTACAGCCTTGCTTCTTCCAACACTGTGGCTTTGTAACAAAACGTGGGAAGTCTTACACTTGTCTGAATTTGTCTACCACACAACCCTTAAATCGTGGCTTTAAAGCTCAAAAATTCGAATATTTTCCACCTACCTGCACTTGTTCTCCTTCAGGCGATTGGAAGGAAAATCCTCCCTGTGCGACTACAGCCCCTGTTTCTCCTAGTTGTTTGTATGTGCCCTCCTCATTCGCTGATATTCCATTCTCAGTGTCATATCTAAAAATAAGACAAATACTCGAATAGTTGCAACATATTTTGACTATTTATTTAGGTGCAAACCGGGAGAATTTAGCAGCGAAGAGATTAACCATTCAAAATGTCCCCTGGACTTCCCCTACTGTTTGAAAAAACTAGAAAAAAATCATTGTATATCCTCGCAATGAGTAGGTAAACAAATTGGGGGATTCTAGAGTTTCCTACGAATCTTTGAAGATGCTCAAAGATACACAGAGGTGCAAGGCATCGATGTATCGCAGTGATTATCTCGTACCCCAAGAATTTTGTTCAGCATATGGTGAAAGTACTCAATCATTTTGATGTAGTTCCAAACCTCATAAACTATTGCAGAATAACGGATAAACAACAATGAACTGAATGCTTATGCGCTCATTAAAAGTTTAAGTTAAAGGCGGAAATATTGTTCTAAAATGTCAAGGAAAATTAGTGAATCTGCATTCATTACTTTGCATCTGAGGAAATCTTTAATCCAAGGTGAAATTTTACAATTTTATAATACCTATATTACGTAAAAAATCCAACTAGGAAGTTTTTGATTGGTATCGCATTTTTGCATACAAGGGGCATTCAAAAACATCGTTTTTTTCAGACAGTAGGGTACTTTCGCAAATTTTTATTTCAACGGAATAATAGTTTTTTGCCTTTTAGAATAATCACATTAGACGAAAATACCCCTGGTGTACGAAATAATTGTAAAGTCTGGTTTTATTGCTGCAAGTTGTTTAAGGGGGTATCCAAACATGGTCGCATAAACTGGGTACAGCAATTTTTGTGGGAAAACTTTTTATTAGACAATAAAGAATGAGAAAACGTGTTTTTTGCGATTCAATCGAAAGTGTTGGCACGAACGAAAAAACTCTTCATAGAAGATTTTTAGGTACTTATGAGACCTACCAAATGAGACCACACGCAAAAAGATCCGACTAATAGCAACAAACTTATGGCCGAAAACAGAGGCTAACTGCGGGTTTTGGCACTTGTTGGTAATGCGACGATGATTTCTCGCAGATATTTGAAATTTTTCAAATTCGTAGGATTTGTACTTCTAAATATCCACCACAAAATTGGAGTAGATTGGTCAAGTAGTTTTTGAGAATTCAAAATGTGTTCCGGTCAACACTAGTAGTTTATTCAGCAATATACAGGGTTAGTTTAAAGGGCATTTTATAACAAAATACACTAGTTTACCTTGCCGATATGTGTCGCAAGCCATTCTGGAAGATAAATGTTATTTTTATGCAAAAAAGGATGGGTTACGTTTTTTCTTCTAAAAAAAAAAGGACGCGGCAACACGCTTATGAGAAAAGAAGTTTCGGTTAATTTCGCTGAATTTTTGATATGTTATGCGTCTTGGCATCCTGAAAAAATGTTTCAATGGCCACAGGCCCCCAACCTCAACGGGTTCCAAGATATAGGCCGTCCAAGTCAGTATAATGGAGGCCTTACTCAATATCTGCTTTAAATGGAAGAGTGCTTTCGGTCAATTTCGCTGAATTACTGATATGTTATGTGTCTTGGCGTCCTGAATAAATGCCTTAATGAGCACAGCACCCAAAACTCAACGGGTCCCAAGATATACGACGTCCAAATCAGTGTAATGGTTATACTGGAATATATACTCGTATGCTTTAAGTGAAAGAGTAGTCCCGGGTAATTTAGCAGGATTTCTTAGATGTTATGTGTCTCGGCATCCTGGACAAATGCCTTGAAAGACAAAACTCAGTGTCCGAAGATATAGGTCGTCCAAATCGGTATAACGGGGTGTCGGATTTACTCAGCTATCTGCTCTATCTAGAGTAGTGGTTTCGATTAATATGACTGAATTTTTGAAATCTCATGTATCGCGTCATCCTGAACAAATGTCTTAAAGAGCACATACAATTTTAACCACATCCCTTTTCCATTGGGGTTGGACGAATTAGGTCCCTATCGTCAGTCGTTCCTACAATTGTAGGGCGCGTTTATGGCCTCCTTGATTGTCATAGTTTTCTACTTCTCCGTGTCAGCGCTCTATTTTGAGGTTATGTCACAAACATCTATTTGCATCAAATTGTGCTTGCTTTTGAGTTTTATGATGTTTTATCAGCCTGAAATTTCCCACAATTTAAAAGGAAAACATATCTTAACAATAGGAGAGCGCTGACGCTGACATGGGACGAGTGTAATCTAGAAATTTTTGAAGGAGAGAAAAGAGTATGACAATCAAGGAGGCCATATACGCGCCCTACAATTGTAGGGACGACTGACGATACGGGCCTTAGACTCAATGAAGTTTAGTAGCAGGTAGGTCGACGTATCTTTCTATCTGCTAACCAGCTACGACTCAACAAGAGCGATGACAGTGACAGCTCCTTGTGTATTTTTCTATCGGTATAAGGGAGACTGCTACATGCGCAGCCGTTGTGAGAGGACATTTTTAGGTTAATCGTTACTTGTTGCAATCTACAAACAGTTCATTACTGAGTACTGTGCAACCATTTTCTATTTAGTATTCCATTGGATTATATACTTTTTGTCGGTAGTTTTTCATATTTCGTTTATCGTTAATCGTTGTGTTTTTGGTCTCTCGTTTTCCGTTTTCTTTTTTTATTTTTGTTTTGATCGTGAGTACTGTTTTAATTTTGTTATTTTTAGCATTACGTGTAGAGTTTTAAATTTGAGCTGTGCAGTTTGAATTTTATACTATAGCAACGAGCATTGCGCAACGCATGACATGTTATGTGTGTAATGAAGCTTTCACTATTCGTTCCATGCGACTTGTGAGAAACTTCAGCAAACCAAAAGTGGAGATTGCTATGAGGTACCGTGAGGAGCTGAATCACTCTGCTTTTGTGATAAACGATATATCACGTGTTTCTTTTAACTGTGATTCATTACATACACGGGACGAAGCGGCCTTGCAAAATCCCGAAAGCCTTAGGATGAATGTCCTTAGACAAAAATCCTCTGAAACATGTATGATATGTAATCACTTGAGCATACATTTGCACCGGTTTAGTATTGAGGCTCGAGTTGAAATATATTTGGAGAATAACATTTACATCCCTCAAGTATCTCGGGTCTGTTCACAGCTCCTTGATGAAAAAGGATTTCTTTTAAGGAACTTTAATGCTGGCTTATGCCATTTAAATCGACCTATTGTTTTGCCTCGAATAGAAGTCAGTAGAATTTTTACATAATTAAGAAAATCGGCTGTAAAAAATCATGGACAATCTCCCGATCCTGATGATTTGACGGATGAAAATTTTACTTATCTTACTTCGATATCTAAAGCTCAGTTCAATAACTTATATGAGTCTTGCGTTCCTGCCGTTCGAGGTAATAACTTTCGTGAGGTCACCACAAAATCTCTGTTTATATTTTTATGTAAAATGCGCCATGGACTTATTGATAATCTTTTGAAGATTTTAGTCAATTATGGCAGTAATCAGGACATTAGTATTTTGATTGGTGCAATGAGGAGATCTATGATGATGAATTTTGTGCCGGAAAATATTGGTCTTGGAGCAATAACTTGTGAACAGTTTATCGTAGAGCATGTAACTCCGTTTGCAAATTAATTGTATAATAAAAACACAAATAATTTAAAGGCCATTTCAGTAGTTTATGGAACTTATATTGAAAAATCAGGAAATTATCGTACTTTGAGACAAAGCTACTCGTTCATAAAGCGAAACCGAGTATGATGACTTCACCAGATGGGTACATTTGAGATATTCGCGCGCCGTATTTCTCAGATGCAAAAAATAATGATGCCTGCATATTAATTAGTTTGAAAATGATACCAATAATATAAATCAATGGTTTCAAGATGGGGAAATTTTTATTGTTGATCACGGATATAGAGATGCAGCACATTTCTTGGAAAATAAACGATACAATGTAAAAATGCCTCGAGACATGGGAGGTGTAACCATCAACTCACTACCGAAATGGCCAATCGGGCCTGCATGCTTACAATGCAGCATGGGCAGTTGAAGTACGAAATGACCACCGAAAACACCTCATAAAGTACCCCAGTACAATGTTTCTGCGATACATCCAGGATGCCGGTAATAAGAACAGCAATGGCAATGGCGCTCAAGTAGGAGAATTAATAGTTGATGGTGAAGATTGAGGTTATGCAATGAAAAACAAAAAAAAATGCAACCAATGATTAGAGAAATGATTATCGTGAGTACTGGTCTGAATAGAACCATTACCCCCTATATTGACTTCCTTTCGTGGCATCCGTTGAGTTTTTGGCTTTGTGTCCATCGATACATTTATTCAGATCGCCAAGACCCGCGGAATATTATAGATTCAGTCAACTAAGTGAAACAAGTATCTAGTTATACTGACAGACTATATCTTGGGACCCGTTGAGTTTTTGGGGGTGTTCGTTTTGAGACGAGTGTTCAGGATACCAAAATATATAGCATTTCACAAAATCAGTGATATTAATAGAAAGCACTATTCCAAGTAGACTTAGTATAACCCTTATTCCATCATACTGACTTGGACGCCCTTTGAGTTTTGGGACCTCTGCCGATTAAGGCATTTGTTCAGGACGCCGCGACACTTAACATATAACAAATTCAGAGAAATTAAACGAAACCATTCTTTCACTTAAATCATAGCGTATTCCATTATAACCAATAGACTATAGCGACTTGGACGCCCTATATCATGGAATTCGTTGAGTTCTGGGGCGTGTGTCCATTAAGACATTTGTTCAGGACGCAGAGACACAAAACTGTTACTCAGCAAATTTCATAAAAACGGTTATCTGGCTTCAATCATTTCAAATTAAGAATCATAAGACACCCATAACAAAACAAGATCTTGTGCACTCTGCGTTGTTGTTCTGACCGTCCGAAACGTTCTCAAAAAAAATTGATTTGCTGAAACAAAGGACCGATAATCCCCAACTAGGTTTTACCCTTGCTTGAACACTTTTTCTCCACTGCGTGTGCTCAGTCGGTTTCAAACCGTTGGAAATGTGATGCTAGAACATTAATGATAAATACTTGAAAGGAGTATGGTTTTCGGTGTCCCACCCACCTTAGAAGAAAGATAAGTGTAACTCTTACGCGTAATGGAAATTTCCCTCTGGATCAATGTCTGATTCTAAACGAAGAATTTGTGCAGCTCTTGCGTCACCACCTACAACATGTCCTCCAGATACTGCTCCACCTACACCTACCGCAGCACTATAGGCAGACGCTACAATTGCAGAGAAAATGGCCTGAAATTCAATTTTAAACAATCAATTAGTTAAACCTTAGATGCTTGATTGAATAAAATTTCTTAAAACTTCGCAGATTCACAACATCTTGGGCTAACCTAGAATTATTGGTGTGTTCGATAGGTTAGGATTTTTGTGTGATGTTGGTACTATTTGCAGGTGCTTATGGTGGAGATCAATTATCGTTGTTTAGTCTGTTACCAACCTAAAGCAGAAAGTGTGCAATACCTTCTTAAACTTAAAGAATGTTCGTCCCAATCCATACATATTTCATCATTAAAATATAATTATGTTCTCCACCGTTGTTGAAAAATGATCCGCGTAAATACAGTTTTTTATCATCTAGCCATGTGTTCCCAAACACAATTTTATACATCTAACACTAGCACCAATCTCATTGACGAACTAAGTAATTAAATGATAAGCAATTCAGCATGGTTTGCTATTTACTATTTTCAGTTTTTGTTTTAGCTCCTGAAGATGACAGGATAGCCTGTCGAAAGCTTGAGTATTTGTAAGTCAAAAGGGTACACTTTGCTTAATTTGTGGATATCCCCAAAGACAAGTCTTTCATTTAAGTAGTTATTATCGACAATAACTATGAATCGCATGTGTATATATATATACACAGTGGAATCCACTTATAATGAACTTGCTTATATTGGAAACCCGTACACAATTGCATGTAAAATCCTCGGATATTATAGACTCGCTTAAAATAGACCCTCGCTTATAGCGGGCTATTTCAATCCATTATATGAGAGCTATTTTGGTAGTTCAACGAAGCAGATTTAGATGATGCAATCGTTTACGGCGGTTTGGCTTCGCAGTTTGCTTTCGAACTTGGCCACCAGTGTTATACTGTATTTATTAAAGCTATAAACATGTCGAAAAGTGCGAAACGTGCATTCACTTTACACGAAGTGAATAATTAGTGAGCTTGAGCAGGGTTCATCTCAAGCAAATATATGTGCTCGTATGGCTATAAAAAATCCACTGTGTCAAGTATTTGGAAAAACCGTGACAAAATTAAAAATGACTGGAAATGAAATAGTCAAAAGAAATAAATGCGGCTATCGCTGCATCCCCAAATCGATGATATGATGTTTAAATGGTTTCAACAAAAGCGTGCTAATAAATTTCCAGTGCTACAAATAAAGGCTGAAGAATTTGGAAAATTGATTGGAGATTACTTCAAATGTAGTTCCGGTAGGCTAGACAGGTTTAAGAAAAGACATAATATTGTTTTTGGAAAAATGTGTGGTGAGTCAGCTTCAGTTGACAAGAACGTTACCCATGACTGGATTTCCCAAGTTTGGCCCGTAGTATCCAGCGATTATTCAGATGATAACATATTCAATGCAGATGAAAGCGGGATATTTTATAGAATGCTCCCAGTTAAAACTCATAATTTAAAAGGTGAAACTTGCAATGGAGGGAAACTATCAAAAGAGCGAATAACTGTTATGATTTGTGCTAATGCTTCTGGTGCTTAAAAACGGAAACTATTGATAATAGGTAAGTGAATGAATAGAAATTCATGTTCTAATTTTTTTGATATTCAATGGCAGTGCTGCAAAGAATTTATGACTTTTTTTATTTCAGGGAAATTTAAGAATCCCAGGTGTTTTAAAAATGTTAAAACAATTCCCGTAGATTATGTTGGACATAATAAAGCTTGGATGACTTCATCAATTTTTGAAGAATATTTAAAAAAGTGGGACGCTGAACTTAAGAAAAATCGTAAAATTTTGCTCTTGTTCGATAACTGCCCCGCTCATCCAAATATTTCACTTAGTAACATCCAACCTTCAACTTTTTCCACCCAATGTGACATCAGTTCAACCAATGGACCAGGGTGTCATTTGGAGTTTTACACAAATGTATCGGAAACATATGTTGATAAAAATTATGGAGCTTCAAGAAGATGTCAACATTACCAAAGCTGTCACCATTTTAGATGCTATAAATTGGCTTATTATTCCATGGGAATTGATTACTCCAGAAACGATTCGTAATTGCTTTCGCCATGCTGATTTAGTGAAAAACGTAACTGAAATAGTCAACGATTTTAATCCAGAAGATTAAATTCCTTTAGGTGATTTACTGAAAATTAATAGCTTACTGAATATAGACAAATTTAATGAGTATGTAAATGTTGACAATAATTTAATAGCAACACAGGAATTATTAGACTCCAATTTGGTTAATGAAGGATCCATTGATAACGAACAGGAAGACGAACTAGAAAAAACGATGAAGAAGAGCTTCCAATGACAACTAAGGAGGCATTAGACTGCGTGAAAAAGTTGCAACGTTATTTTCAGCAAGAAGAAGACAGTACAGCCACACTTACCAAATTAAATAAAATTCAGCTTGCTGTTCTAAATAATTATACAAAAAACAATCTGTTCAAATGAAAATTACTAGCTTTTTTAGAAAATAATTAACGGTTTTTACATATACCTACACAGTACGTATGCCTGTAATATGTGTATCAGATTCTGAGAAAATGCAAATATCAAAATTACGTATAACTTTTTTGTATGTATTTTTATTTATGTAATATATATTAAACAAACACATTTTAAGCTTTTTATATGTTATTTATGCTGCTTTTTTCATAAAAAAAGTGTTTCTTTTAAGATGGTCATCCGCCTATAATAGACTATTTGTCACAGTCCCGCCGAGTCCATTATAAGCTGGTTGCATATATATGCAAGCAGTAGCCATTGCCGACGACCAGTTGGGCAAAAAATAATAAAAAATACAACGCTCTTTTACGTCAATGCGGTGAAATTAATTCATTTGACCAAAACATTATTTGTAACTTTTCTAAAAAAAAACCTGTAAGAATGATTACTAAAAGCCTAATCATTTTAATTTTGCTCTCTCCAGTTTCAATAAAATGTTCGTCTTATGTCTCTTCCTGATATCCCTTTTATCAACCCTGGATTGAGAAATTTACTTCTTGTTTAGGTATTATTTCATATTTTCTTAAGCACAAATATTTACTGACTGTCCACCTTACAGATTGTATTTACTTGGTTTCTCGCGAATAAAATTATTCACTTATTTTATTCAATAGAAACAGAAAAGGTTCTGTACCTTTTGGTTGCGATTTAGATTGGTACACCTTGTAGAACTGGGGACTATTATAAACAACGAACGAAAAACAATACGCAAACTGTGGCCATTGGTTACTGCACAAAACTTTTGGGAATTCAATGAAAACGCTTCTCATTATTTGAGACATTTTTGGGATTCCAAAACATTTTTGTGAACTCTACCTAACCTTCCGGTTACTTCAACTTGAATCACTAATTTCGAGTCAAGTATTTCAGTGAGTAGCTGGTGAAAATGAATTCTGATATCTCAACCCAAATCTAAAAATAAGCATATTTCTCGAAATAAAAAAAATCGGATTTTAAGAAACGGAACAATAATCAACAAAGTATAAAAATGATAATAATAAAATTGCTAACACTAATAGACGTCTTTATTTCTTTACAACATTTTAATGCAGCTAAGGTAAGATTTAAATGGCAAAATTTAGTGTTTGTTACTCTTACATTCAACTAAAAAGTCGCATGTTAATAATAATGAAATATCACTCACAACAAATTTAAATTTTGAGTAATAAGTTATTACCATAAAGCGAAACCTGGCATTCTTTCCAAAGCAAAGTACAGACAAAAAATTGAAAAGCAAACAAAATGGTTAGGAAAGTAAAAAAGCATGATTGTCTAACCAATTCATTGAGGTAATGATGATTTCACTTTTTGTTGAAAAGCTGGTAATGAGTATTGTTTATACAATTTTGGTAATGAATTATAAAATAAACTACGTTTAAATGGGGTTGTTGAATGCCGATGTATTCTGATAATTTTTTCTCTAATTTGTCTAGAATGAACATCATTGATAAATGATTTTTTTTCCGCAAGTAAGGTGGTTTAGACGTAAGTAATAATTTATGGATGAAAACTGAGTAGTGGTATTTAACCATACCATTTATTTTCAACCAATTGGATATTTTGCTAATGAATGATCAATTTGCGGAGTCCAAAAATAAAATGAACACAATTATTTAGGATGATTTTAATTAGGTTTTTGATATAGCTGTCTAAACGTGGGTTGCAGTAATTTAGAACAAATCGTATTTCATCTTAATTTCGAAAGGTTCAAAAACAATGAAAAAGTAGTTTTGATTTCTCCAAATTCTTGAAATCTGCCAAAATATTTATCGACTGCCCCAAAGCATCGGGTTAAAATTCAGAGTCCTTTTGTAAAAATAAAAATAAGTCATTCGCGCATCACCGAAATTCCCAAAAAAATAAAATAAAACAAAAATCAACAACTCACCAGACGATACATTGTATGGCTGGTATCACAACCTTCGCAAGAATGTTTGAATATTTCAGCTATCTTCAAATTTATAGTCGACCGCGTCTAGAGTGGAAAAGAATCGTAATATCCTTCTTTTTTATTTGATACCATGTAAAGGTTACAAATGTGGCGGCGGCGACGACGACGAATCTGCCACTCGCACCTCATTTTAAACCAGTTTTTTGAAAAAAATGCATAGGCGCCGCGATTTGGAGGTTGTGGTTATGTGGACCACAAGCTGTGCCATTCATTTAGCATGAAGCCCGTTCAAAATAACCATTCCATTTTAGTAACCTTTCAAGAGAAATCCATATGGATTTTGTTGAAATGTCCAGATTAATTCAAAATTTGTGAAGGGACTCCATCATACAGTCATTTGAAAAAGGTTATGCTAATTAGTTGCTGTTCATATACGTAGGTTTTAAATTTGGCGCCATTTTTCAACAACTTGAGACATTTTATATTGTGCGTGTGTTACATCCAAGATGCAGTTTTTTGTATGTAATTTAATTCATTTAATTTAATAATATTCTTTGTAGTGTTACAAAAAATAAAAATTTCTTTGAAAAACTTAACAAATCTGATTTTTTGCATAAATCATGTTTTTAATATCTATCACTTTGTACTGATTTTTTCCTCAAATATGGCAATAGTGAACTTTGAAATAACCGATTTTCATTAATTCTCTAGATTTATAGTTAGAAAATCTCCTCGGTGACTTATAACCTGCATTGATATGCCGTGCGTGTGCCGCGGCTTTCCTGCCTGAACAAGAAAATTCGTTCGTCTTCATAATGAGCGGTTGACATTGACGCGAGACGGATTATTTATCAACTTATGGTCAGCTCATACGTTTATAGGTAAATTGCTTGTCTCGAAGTGGTGGTAGAAAAAAGACTCTATTTGGCAATATTTTATAGAAAAATTGAATAAATCAGACGGAAAAACGGAAACAGAACGAGCTGTAAAAAATGCAAATTTGAATTACATTTGAATTGTTGAACGGATGAAAAGACATTGGGAGGTATGCCAGAAAACAGCGGTTCCAGCAGTCATATTAGATACTGGCAATAGTGAATGTGCCAGTACCAGTACTGCTAGTACCTGTTCAGGACTAGATTTCAATTAAGTATAAACATTGATTAACATATTCCACTTGAAGATATATAACTAAAATAGACGCCAAAAGGGATTAAAGGTTCTAGCGTCATTTATGAGATCGTAGCAAAACCAAACACTCTAACATCTAACTCTTTTCAAAGTGGATTTCTAAATACATTTTTGTGTTCTGTTACTGTCTCGTAGATGGTGTTAGTATCATTCAAATTTCTTTTTGGATGCCGGAATACAGTATATGGTTATCTGTCTTCCGGTATAATTCGTTAATCAATCAATAATTCATAATATGCATGTATAAAAACATATGAGGGTGTATATGGATAATATTTCATAAAAAATCACACCCATACTGTCTTTTTCAAAGCTGTTGGTTTCATATATATATATATATATATATATATATGATCTACAAAGAGAAAATGATCATGCGGAGAAAGGTATATAACAAAAAGTAGGAAAATAATGGTGCATTCATTTCGGGCCTGATGAAGCCAACAAGCAGAAATACGTATCGCTCGGGTTACCTATCTTATTTTCTGCTCGAATCCACTTTGCTTCTTTTTGCGGATTTTGCCCAAAGTTGAGGTTTTCCTTTTCAGAAACAACTGCCCTTGAAATAACAAAGGTCATGTGCAGTGAAACGAGGGCGACCAAGTAAAAAAAAATAAAGGAAAAAGTACTCACTCTCCAGTTGACGAGAAGGGCTAAGTACGTCTCTGCCCGAAATCATGCCGCTCCAACAGAAAATGAAATCAGCTGATGCGCTACCGAGCAGACGCAGGCAAACAAGGGTGGCAAAATGTTGCGTAATGACTAAACATGAGTGTTGCGAAAGTTATTCACCCCATTACGCGTGAACGTAGATTCGTCTGTCACCAATATGCACTTCAAAAAGTCCGCATTATTGTCATGTTGATGCAACAACCACTCACAAAACCGCACTCTTGCTGGAAAATCGTCAGGTTGAAGGGCTTGTACACGTTGGACGTGAAACGGATATAGCCCCTCTTCACGCAGCGTTTGCCACACTTTAGTTTTTGATACTTGCACTTCTCTAGCCACGTCTCTAGTGCTTGTTGTTTTTTGAAACGCAATCGATTATATGGGTTCCTTTACCTCTACACGCGTGACCGTAACCGTCGGTTGAAGGTTGCATACTGACCTGACACACTGACCCCGACCCAGTTCTGCCGTCGGGTTGAGACCTTGTACCAATCGGTGATGTCCCGGGTCGCGGCTTCAGGACGGTATTCAGATATTTTTGATGTTGCAGAGCAATTTATCTCGGTTCCCTTAAGACATTGGTGTATATGGTACTAAGAAAAATTGCTTATGTTTTCAAGATCTACACGTCGTGTAAAGGAAAACCCCAACTTTGCGGACACCCTGTATATCGTATATTAGAGGTAATTTCAGGCAAATGCATCACTGACAATTATTACAATGTCAAGCAGAAGAATAGTTACTTTATTCGTTTTTTTGCTACATTCTAATGTGACCCTCACATGCGTATAACTTTCATTCTCGTAGTAAGTATGAAAAATGAGCCGGGTCAATATCAGAATCTTATGCGATACGGGCCACCATAAACAACACTAATGCGAAATACCTGTATATATATAAAAAAGAAACGGAGGAATCAAAATTTATGGACCAAGGATAGTAGGTTCACTACACGGCCGAACTTAGGAGCGCAATAATAGTATAAGTAAAGTCGTTGAAAAATATCGTCAAGTTTATATCCCGAAGTACCTTCATTACTCTTTCTACTGTTCTAATGTATTTTAATCCATACTGTATTGTGGTATTTTAAAACAAATTTAAGCTGATTTTCTAAATTGAACATATGCGATGTCGGCTAGGGTGTACCAGCCTATGAGGGCCAACAATTTTTTCTGTTTTTTTATCATTCCGAACAAAAAAGGTTTCCATAAACTTTTTTCTAAGCCCTAAAAATGGGTATATTCAATCCATAAAAACTTAAAAATTATAATTTTTGAGGTAGCTAAGTATCTGAATTACAGATGAAGTCTTCCTCTATAAAACCCCGAAGAGTATTTTGAGAGTAATTTATTTTTAACCCTGTTTGTTAGGCAAAAATTGGCGAACAACATAACAAAACATAACATTTCTTTTGCGATTACAATACTTCCTCGCCAGTGGCGTGGGAAGTAAACGTCTGAAATTTTATTTTGTTGGGGCAACCGCTTTACACTATCCATCCTTGAAAATGTGGCGAGTGATTTTGCTTCTTGTATTCTGTATACTTTGGAGCAACGTACGTATTGTTTCTGCACCACAAGGACGCCGCCATGTATCTCATCCTATCTCCATACCTGGCGAAAATACCAAATGACACGACTAATGCAAGAGGCCAATGGAGTGATAGAAATGATGTTTTTGAAGCTTATTTTTTTCTTTTGTTGCTTTTGGATGGGAATTATTTTTCGATAGCTGTCAGAGACAAAACAAGTCTTTAAACTAAACAAATAAATTGATTGACATTATTTGAATCGTGTCTGTTTTGAAAGAAGACTTGAAGTATCAACACACTGGGGTAAAAATTCCAGACTCTTTAGAAACATATCGTTCATGAGCTTTTGGACTAGTTTCGACTAACTAATTCGAATAAATTGGAAGCAGCCAGGCCTATATGCTTAAATTCCATTGTTTGTTCCCAAAATGGTGTAGTTCTAGTGCATACTTTACACAATTTGCTTATCACTAGCAACGAAAGTGACAAACCACATCGGCGAACATTATTTTCTCTGGAAAGGTTAGTCGAGGCTATTAGTACTGGGTGAGCAAGCAGTGTTTTTTTGACAGGGGAGCCGGCCCTTCCTGCCCGCCATCTGACAAAAATCATCTCTCTTTCATCGCTTGTAGCTTCGATGACCCTTTTATAGAGGGCACATCTCTCCGTGCAAATCAATTGGCGGAATACCAGCCACCACCAACAATGCATCGACACCGTTATGTGAGCGCATACCACGCGCAGCATACCTTTTCGCTGGCTTCTCAATATTAGCTGTCTATAGGAGCTCCATACAGCATAATCGACTTTGCCACTCATGCCAAAAACCTGCGCCTCTCACTACTGGGGCCTCCGTGAGATGGCATTAGCCGTATCAGTGGTGCAATGACCTTATTTACCTTGGCAGTGGTGCGCCTTGTTCGATCAATCATTTTCAGATATTTGTCAAGCCACACACCCAGATACTTAACTGCATTTTGGCTCCGAACCTCGGAATTATCAACTTTAACAGCTAATGAAGTTAGCTTCTGTCTGCGAGAAAGTGATTTCGTATGCCAAGAGTTCTTCAAGTGTATCTCTCTCCTTGCTAGTCACTATCATCGCAAGGTCGTCATCATACCCTATCAAGCGAATTCCCGGCAGCATCTGTAACCGAAGAACCATATCGTAGAACACGTTCCAAAGCAACGGCCCTAGGACGGAGCCGTGCGGCATATCCATGGTTACCTTCATTGTCTTTTGCCCTACCATAAGTGTCCTCTAGCCAGAATAGCTCTTTATCATGTTAAATAGATAGCTAGGGGTGCCTGCGATTGTGCCGTGTTAAAGGCGTTCTGAGGTTCTACATAGCATAGGGATTAAATTCGTATTGTTCTGCGAAAAATTATTTAAGTGCGTGGGATCCATACAACTATAGTGTTCCCAAAAGTTGCAGCGAATGGTGAAGGTTTCTGTGCAATGCAAAACTCAGTTTTTTACGTAGCTTGATAAGTGACGTTATGTCGATTTTATTATGACATTACACTGTTTTTTTGACATTATGTAGGTTTTTCTACAAGATGTTAACTTAGCACTTAGTCGTACGTATTGCCTAAACGTCATGAGGCTTCAGTTATCAATGTTTGGCTCTGATGTGATGTAAAATCTGGTCCAGAGATGGCACTACTGGCGGTGTAAGCTGTAAGTTGTATGTATTGATGATAATTCCATTGGATTCTTGTCTCAAATACACTTACTTGAGATTTAAAGCTAGAAATTGGTTGCGCA